ACATAGCAAGAGAGAGAGGGAAAGTGAGAAAGCAAGCTGCCAGGTCCAGGACTTGAACCCTGTTCAACCATGTGGAAGTCCAGTGTCCTTAACCATCACGCCACCTGCTGGTCCCAGAAGCCTTTTTTTTTTAAATTATTATTTATTACAATACTTTGCCTTGTGAAATTTAAAAGTATTTGAAGGGCAGCCCACGGCGTGGTGGTTAAGGTGGCTAGATCCCACATACTCACTGTGTGGTTTGAGTCCCGGACCTGGCAGCTTGATAAACAGCCTGAGCATGTGTGTGTACCCAGAACCGCAAAGGAGAGAAATGGAAGAGAAAGGCTTATAGTACGACTGTTCCCCATGGGAGGTGCTTTCTCACTTCCCCTTTCTTCCTCGCTCTCTCTTCAGCAAGCCCACGCACCCTTTGGCAAATTAAAAATAAATAAATAGAAGTATTTGATCATTTTGCACATATATCATTTTCAACTCCATAACAGTCTATGGAAATAATTCATGCTGACCAAAAATATTTTCAACATTCTGAGTGGCAGCTCAGAGGTATTTTGATTCAACAGGAATTCCAGGAGTACTCCAGGGAGCAGCACGGCTTATCACTGTGGAGAGGCAGACTCCAGGGTGGGGGGCAGACACCGCCACTTCCACGCTCTCCCGAGTCTCCTCACGTTTTAATGAAGAGGTCAGATGGCAGTGTCCTTCCCAGCACTTGGATAGAAGTTCTCTTTAAGGCCAGCTAATGGCGTTAAATGATAAGGTGACTGAATCCACGTGGCGGTGTGGTTCAGATCCCAGATGCGTCAGTAGGAAACATGCTGTGTGTGTGTGTGTGTACACGTGTGCACACGCGCTCTCACATGCCCAAAATCTTTTTTTTTTTTTGGAGAGGTTTTCGCTATAGGGGGCGTGTGCTTGCCAGACAGACAGAAAGACATAGAGACAGAAAGCGAGAAACCACCCCCCAGGGGAGATGGTCACGCCGCAATCCCTTCTCCTCCATTCTCCTCTCGGGATCTTGGGCACGCACGCACACGCACCTGGCGTGAGTTTTAAGCCACCGGGTCCAGGACTTGAACCACGGTCAACTACGTGGGGGTCCAACAACATAGCCATTACGCTAACTGCTGGTTCCCAACATGCCCAAAATCTTGACAGGAGAACGAAAGAGAAGGGCGTGGTCCTCTCCCTTGAGGGGTGCTTTCTCACTTCTCCCCCACCTCCTCTACGTCTGTCTTTGGTGAGCACGTGCACCCTGTAGTATATTAAACAAAAGTTCACTTTAGACTGGTTGCCAGACAAAATACAGGCCCCATGCAATATTTGAGATATATTTATACAAAAAAGTATTTGTGTTTATCTTCAAGTACATTTTTTAAATTAAAATTTTTGATAGGCCATATACACTCACCAGAGAGAGACAGAGAGAGAGGAAGGGAAAAGAAAACACCCCCGGGGGGAGGGTGCTGGTGCTCACACCACAGTACTTTCTCCGTTCTTCTCTCGGGATTTGAGCACACACGTACAAGCACCTGATGTGTTTTTATTTCTCTTTTATTTTCCTGTTCATCACTTTGAATTTAGCAGGCATTCAGTATCTATTGTAAGTGGAAACTATAAATATGATGGGAACCTAAAGGAAGAGCACATTCACATGCAACTGACCATCTCGGCCCTTACCTGGACCATTCTAGGAGCTGCATTTGAGCTCAAATGAATTGAAGAAGCGGGGGTCTAACTTAATAGGCCAGCTATCCTGCTTTCTGCAGCACCAAGGGAGACACAAACATAAGGTTTTGTTCCAGGAACCAGTAATTCAAATCTGGAAGAACTTAAGAAAGTGTACATGTCATTTAGTCTAGGCTCTTCTTTCTTTTCTTTTCTTTTCTTCTTCTTTTTTTTTTTTTCCCTAATTTTCCCAGGAGATGTGTGTGGTCTGCAGAGACGGAGAGAAAGAGGAGAAGTGATAAAGCACCTCACATCGGGGATGATCGTACTGCAATCCCCTTTCCTCCACTTGTCCCGCCTTTCAGGATTTGGGGCAAACACACGTGCTCAGCAAGTTGTATAAGCCAGCAGGTCTGGGACTCAGACTGCACAGTTGGCCGGGTAGGATCCAGCTGCCTTAATCACCCACCACCTGCTGGCCCTAGTCTAGACTCTTCTGAAACTCTTTGAACTAATCGGCATTTCTTCGGGGATGTCTGAACGTTGTCAGAGGCCGAGCTAAGCACTTGCACACGTGCTACCGTGCCGAAGTGCCCAACCCAAACCATCCACGTAGCTCAGAGGCACTGCAGGCCCGCAACTCCTCTTGGCTAGTGCCTTCTGCTGACATGGACGCGGCCATGGGATGTCCATGCGTCTGACTGACCTGATTTTACAAGCGTTAGGTTCTGCAACCTAACACATAGTCTTTGCAGTTGGATAAACTTGGGTTTAAATCCTAGTCCAATGACTTAATAGCTGTACCCAAGATGAGTGGCCTAACTGTGGGCCTCGATTTCCTCACCTATGTCACACACAAGTTTTAAAAGGACTAAGTAAGACAGCATACGGGGCTGGCAGGTGGCATGGTGATTGAGGTGCTGGACTCTCACATGGTGAACTGTGGTTCGAGTCCCATACCTGACAACTTCCTTTCTCTCTCTCTCTCTCTCATCAAATTGAAAATAATAGTAAATAATAATAATAATAACAATAATAATAAAAGATAATATAGACAAAGCATCTGGAACTCTAGAAATATTAGTTAGCTACTCTCATTTTTCTCCATCCTTCTCTTGCAAGGTCCATAGAGGGGAACTTCCTTGGCCTGACGTTAGCTCTCCTGTTCCTCTACCTTCCCAACACCCACCCTCACCACCATATCCCGCCAGTGTGTACTGACATGGCCATGTCAGATGGTACAACACCAAAACGCGTTCACACTGGCCAGGAGATAGTCACTCCCCAGAATTCCCTGCCTCCCCACCCCTACCCCATCTCCCTGGTCATCACAGCCCCCTCTCTGTACTGTAACAAGCGGAGTGCATCTGTCCCATCTGAACAGGGTAGCTGCACACTCAGCAACCACAGGCTGGCCATGAGAACATTTGGGACCATGCATTTGCTAAATCTTTTGATTTTCTTTTTTCAACAGAAGCCAGAAATCCAGAGTTTTAAAGATTCTCTCTCTCTCTCCTTTTTTTTTTTTTTTTTAGGAGAAGGTATTTTTGCCACAGCTGTGTCAGTCTCGATTTTTGCCACAGGTCATGTATGCTCGCCAGAGAGACAGAGAGAGACAGAGAGAGACAGAGGCAGAAAGCGAGAAATCACCCCCTGGGGGGATGGCCACGCTGCAATCCCTTCTTTACCATTCTCCTCTCGGGATTTTGGGCACGCACTCACACACGCCTAGTGTGAGGTTTAAGTCACCGAGCCCAGGACTCGAACTGCTGTGGACTACATGGGAGTCCAGCGACGTAACCATTACGCCATCTACTGGTCCCTGAAATTTCGCATTTTTAAAAAATATTGTGGGGACCAAAGGAAACGCAGCTCTGGTCTAGAGATAGGTCACGGCCCACCAGCCTGCCATGCCAGTGCTCTTCGTCTCCCCTGCTGCCCTGCTCCACCCCGTGCCCGCTCTCTGATCGGCTGCTAAGCTCAGCTGCTCAGCCCGTTCAGTGGGAGAAGTTCCAGTCACTTCCTAATGGGCTCGGATCTGCTCAGATCTCTTCCTGTCTTCGAGTTGAGTGTGACGCTGGTTTGGGACAGAATATAGCTCTGTTGCCCACAAGGTCACTTCCTTCAAAAACGTGATGTGATTCCCTATCCCGTAAGTCCTCAGAATGCCAGTCCCCTGTCTCTGCCTGCCCAGGGCAGGCTAATAGGAACGTCTCGCGTGGGTATAAATGATCTGGTTACTTCACACGGTATCCACCTTAAACCTCCCGCAGTCAAGGTGACCCAGTATTCCGAGTCACTGTTTCCTTCCAGTGCTCTGCCCAAGTCAGAGCTTCGGCCGTGCCGTGGCCTCAGCAACCTGGTGAAACCTGGCGTGTTCAGGGTGGAGGGGGCGGAGGGGCTCCGAGTCTGTCGGATGCTTGCCTCACCCAGCTGCCCTCCCTGTCATCGCTCTTGCTGCTTTTGTTTGCCCAGCGCTGCATCGCTCTGGCTATGGGAAATAAGGAGGAGCATGCCATCCTTCTCTGTAACTTCTTCCTGTATTTTGGGAAAAAGGCCCTGGTCCTTCTGGGAACCTCGCTGTTAGAAGTAAGTACCAGAATTCCTATTGAAATAGTGTAAGCAAAACGAAATCGGATTTCAGCGGTCAGTTTGAAGGACTTCGATCCTGGGACCAGCAGATGGCATAATGATTATGTTGCAGGACTCCCATGTAGTTCGAGTCCTGAACCCGGAGGCTTGAAACTCATGCCAGGTGTGTGTGTGTGTGTGTGTGTGTGTGTGCCCAAAAGTCCTGAGAGGAGACTGGAGAGGAAGGGATCGTGGGGTGGCCATCCCTGTGGAGAGTGATTTCTCACTTTCTGTCTCTCTGGCAAGCGTACATGCCCTATAGCAAAAAATCTCTTTCTAAAACAAAAAGACTTCAATTGTAAATTTTCATTGTTTTTACTAATTAGGGAATTTTATGGGCAAGCTTAATGATTAGTTGAGGTTAAAGTTGGTTCATCAAAATGTTAGCAGCGTAAAGAATGACTGCCATTGGGAACCAGCAGTTAGTGTAATGGCTATGTCACTGGACTCCCACATAGTCGACCGGGGTTCGCGTCCTGGACCCGGTGGCTCAAAGCAGCACATGCCGGGCACATGTGCGTGCATGTCTAAGATCCCAAGAGGAGAATGGAGGAGAAGGGATTGCAGCGTGGCCATCCCCCCTGGGGGGTGATTTCTCGCTTTCTGTCTCTCTGTCTCTCTCTGTCTGTCTGTCTGGCGAGCGCACGCGCCCAGCGAAAACCTCTCCAAAAAAAAAAAAATCAGTGGGTACATGTAAGGTGCTGAGGACTGCCACCTGCTCACAGCAGACACTCAGTTCAGGCATTCCTCAGAGCGGTTGCAGGTTTGGATCCAGGCCACCACAAGGAAGCGAGTAATGAGACAGGGCAAGTCACCCGAACGTTTTGGTTTCTGGTGCGCATAACAGTGACGTGTACAGGGCGAGGCACACAGCACAGGGTTAAGTGCTGCGTATATGGAGCCAGATCCCACATGACTGACTGCAGTTCAAATCTTGGTCCCGGCATCTTGAAAACACATTGGGTGTGTGTATGTGGGTGCTCACAATTCTGACAAAGTGGAAACACAGAGAAGCGATTATGGAATGACCACACCCCATGGGGAGGTCTTTCTCTCTGTCTCTCTGGCAAGTGCACGCACCCCCTGAGCAATAATAAAATTAATTAAAGGGACCAGCAGTTAGCGTAATGGCTATGTCTCAGGACTCCCACATAGTCGACTGCGGTTCGCATCCCGGACCCAGTGGCTTGAAATTCACGCCGGGTGCGTGTGCGTGCGTGCCCAAGATCCCGAGAGGAGAATGGAGGAGAAGGGATTGTGGTGTGACCATCCCCCCTGGGGGTGATTTCTTGCTTTCTGTCTCTGTGTCTCTCTCTGTCTGTCTGGCGAGCGCACGTGCCCTATGGCAAAAACCTCTCCAAAAAAAAGGGAAAAAAATTAATTAAAAATAAAATTTAAAAAGTTATATTTACACTAGTCTATAGTCTATTAAGTATGCAATACATTATGTCTTTCAAAACAATGTGTGGAGCCGGCAGGTGGGATGGTGGTTAAGGGCACTGGACTCCCACCTGGCCAACCGCAGTTCAAGTCCCGGACCTGGCGGCTTGCTTTCTCTCTCTCTCTTTCTCTCTCTCTCTTTTGCTGTCTCTCTCTGGTCAAATTAAAATAAACAAATAAAGTTAAATAAAATAATTCTTTTTTTTAAATGTGCAGGCCTCAATTTTAAAAATATTTATTGCTAGAAAATGCTAACGGGCCAGCTGGTGGCAGTGGTTACGGCAGCTGGGTCCCACATGGCCGACTGTGCCCTCCAGTCCCAAACCAGCGGCTTGAAAAGCATGCCCGGTTCATGTCATTTGTGCTCAAAATCCTGAGAGGAGGGAGGGATGGGGAAGGGATTGCAGGGTGGCCATCTCCCCCCTGGGGGGTGCTTTCTTTCTCTCTCTCTTGCTTTCTCTCCCTCTCTCTCTCTTGTGAGCGCACTCGCCCTCTGGCAAATTAAAATGAAAATGCTAGCAATCAGCTCAGCTCTTCAGTGAATCCTAACCTCCCGCTGAGGGTCTTGCCATGATTTAAAAAAAAAAAAACAATTATTTTAGTTAGCTTTATTTATTTATTTATTTATTTTAATATTAATCTGTTTTGTTTTTGGTCTACAAATTAAAGTATGAATTTATTTGGGTACAAAAACTATTTAACATTCATACATAGTTTTCCCATTACACATATATTTCTATGAGCTTTTTTTTTTTCCTGAAACATTTTTTTACATGAATTAGTTTACATTTATTCCCTAAGCATCGTTTTGATGGCTGCTGACTGGGGTCGCCGTGACAACTCTTCAAATAAAGCAGTGAGCTTTGCTTCTGCACCCCTGCCATCTGTGCAGTCCGTCGGTTGGTGCTTCGTGGGACTCTCGGGAGACCTCGCACTCAGGGGGTCAGAAGCTGCCTTGCTCACCACCAGGTCGGTCAGTGAAGGTCTGCCCTGGCTGGGCTCTGTGAAGGGCCACCATGTCTGTCTTCACCCCCACCAGCCAGATCGCCTAACCAATGCTGGGGGAACTAAGCAAGAAGCACTTTGGAATCACCTGCTACGAAAACGAGGTTGTGGGCTGGCGGAGTGGTGGAAGAAGCCCCCGATGAAGTTCTGCAGATCCACCCAGAGTTTGTGAGTGTTTCCGAAGGTCTGGTTGCAAAGGAGGAAGATCTGGTCAGTGCGTTTGGAACAGGTGATCACACGGTAATCTGTGGACAGATTTTGACTGCAGGAGAGGTGGAGTGTCAGATAAAGAAAGGCACAGGGAACCAGCAGTTAGCGTAATGGCTATGTTGCTGGACTCCCACGCAGTTGACCGCGGTTTGTGTGCCGAACCCGGTGGCTTAAACTCACGCCGGGCGCGTGTGCGTGCATGCCCAAGAGCCGGAGAGGAGAATGGAGGAGAATGGATTGCGGCATGACCATCCCCCCTGGGGGGTGATTTCTCACTTTCTGTCTCTGTGTCTCTCTCTGTCTGGCGAGCGCATGAGAGAAAACCTCTCAAAAAAAAGGAAAAAAAAAAAAAAAGGCACACACAGCCACACAGCCGATCAGGTGTTTAGGGACGTTGCAACTGTCGCTAGCAGACTAGTGTGTGAACCCCGGGAGAAGGGGCCGTAGCCCGTTATCCTTACTGAAAGAGCCGTGAAGGACGCCCCCTGTTCAGTCAAACCAGGTATGAAGCGGCAGGCTTTGGAAGTGATAAAGCAGCTAGAGGAGAAAGTGAGGACGGCCGTGCGCACGTGACACTTCGGTTCATTCTTCCAGTGAACGAAGGGAAGAAGTGGAGAGGAAGTTAGCCACCAGTGAGAGGTCGTGCGTCTCAGGGCCAATGGGGACATGGCTGAGGCACGGGCTCCCACATGGCCATCTGAGTTTGGAGTCCTTGAAATTCCTGCAGGCACATGTGCATGCCCAAAGAGAACAGAGAAGGGACTGAGGCATGGCCATCCCCCCAGGGGGTGATTTCTCGCCTTCCCTCTCGCTGTCTCTGTCTCCCCAGCAAGTGTATGTGTCCTATGGCAAAAATATGAAAAAAGAGAAAAACTGTGTCTTGTTGATCCAGGCTGCTTCAGAAAAATTGATGAGCTACTAGACAAGGAAATGGCATGGTGGCTGAGGCGTGGACTCCCACGTGGCGGGCCACACTGAGTCCAGACCTGGCGCCTTGCTTTCTCTCTGTTTCTCTGTCTGTCTCTGGTGAGTGCACATGCCTTATAGCAAATTTAAATAATAATAATAATAAATAAAATGAAATAATTCTAAAAAAAGGAGGGAAATGAAAAGCCAAGGTTCTTTGGGTATACTCAACTTGAAAGATACAGAAGAAGGAGCATGGCTTGGGCCACAAGTTCTAAAGCATCTTCGTTTCCGACAGCTCTGTTGTGTTTCTGTGATCTGCCGAATATTTGTCCAGACTAACGAAGACGGACATGTTCTCTCGTTGTGTTAAATGTGTACGCGGTAAAACTTTCCTACTTACAGTCGTACCGGAGTGATTTCAATTGGGGGTTTTAGGCAAATCCAGAATAGCACTCTGCTGTTGGGACCAGCAGTTAGCGTAATGGCTATGTCGCTGGACTCCCATGTAGTCGACCGTGGTTCGCGTCCCGGATCCGGTGGCTTAAAACTCACCCCAGGCACAGGTGTGTGCGTGCCCAAGATCCCGAGAGGAGAATGGAGGAGAAGGGATTGCGGCATGGCCATCCCCCCTGGGGGGTGATTTCTCACTTTCTGTCTCTCTGTCTGTCTCTGTCTTTCTGGCAAGTGCACGCGCCCTATAGCAAAAACCTCTTCAAAGAAAAAAAAAAAAAAGAATAGCACTCCGCTGCTCACGCTTTATACCTTTCCAAAATGAGTCACTTAAGGCAACTCTTGTAGATCAAAAGTTAAATTTTGTATATTATAGGAAGTTTATTTGGGGGCTACATCTTTATGACAAAAATAGAGTATATGCTGAAAAAAGAACACTCAGAATGTCATTTCTACATCATGAAATGTGTGTGTAGAAGTGTTTCCTAAAGTAACACCTGGCCAGTGACCCTCATTCTCTGAAAAATTGATGTGTAATGGCCCTGCAAGACTTAAATAATTTCTACTGCACATGCTGGCGTAACTTGGCTTATTCCTGGTAAGAAATAAAGTCATTTTTTCTTTCCTTTTTTAAAGAGGTTTTAGCCTTACAATGTGTGCGCTTGCTGGAGAAAGAGAGAGAAACAGTGAGAGGGAAAGCGAGAAATCACCCCCGGCGGGGATGGCCACGCCACAGTTCCTTCTCCTCCATTCTCCTCTTGGGATCTTGGGCATGCACGCACACGTGCCTGGTGTGATTTTCAAGCCCCCAGGGTCTGGGACTCGAACCACTGGCCAAGTGGGAGTTCAGTGATAAAACCGCTACACCATCTGCTGGGCCCAGTCATTTATTCCTGACTTGTAAAGTTTATAATATGTATCAGGTTGTTGAAAAAGTCGTGACG